GAAGGAAGGAAGGAAGGAAGGAAGGAAGGAAGGAAGGAAGGAAGGAAGGAAGGAAGGAAAGAAAGAAAACAGAAAGACATGGTCTGTGCACTTACGGAATTTACATTTATTTGGGAAAAGGCACAGGCACATAAAAGCCAAAAATAGGAACATGAGGTAGCACTTGGTAAGTGTCAAAGAAGGGGACTTTGAGGGCCAGAGGCTGACTGATGGGCCACCACAGTATTAGAAAACCAGAGTTCACAACCTGATCAAATAATCTTGCATTGGCGCCAGAACTCAGAAAGAGTCGGAAAAACCTCTCAGTGGGCAAGAATGAATGAGTCAGAAGTTACTGCTCTAAGCACTACCGCAAACACCCATTCTGGTGAGACCACACCAAGGTTTTCAGCATGTGTCAGATGCTAATCAAAGACATCTCAGCTGGGTACAGTGGCTCATGCCTGTAACGCCGGCACTTTAGGAGGTCACGGCACGACGAATGCTTGAAGCCAGGAGCTCAAGACCAGCTTGGGCAACACAGCAAGACTCTTAGCTCTACAAAAAATTTTTAAAAAGTAGCTAGACGCAGTGGCATGCGCCTGTGGTCTCAGTTACCTAGGAGGCTGAGGCAGGAGGACTGACAATTCGAGGGCTGAGGCTGCAGTGACTGCAGTGAACCATGATGGCACCACTGCCCTCCAGCATGAGTGAAAAGAGACCCTGTCTCTAAAAAATAAAAACAAATCACAGACAGCATCTCCTTTAGACTCATCAAACACATTCATTTCATGTCTCTCTTTTTTTTTTTGGCCATCTTCCAATACTGTGATGCTCTGTCTCATTCTAAAAGGACAAGCAACTGACTGCACTCAGGGAGCAGCATAAAGTGAATGCTTTAAGGAACTCGTGGGGCCTTTCCATCCTCCTCCCAGCCAATCCTTCAAGCTCTGATGAGCCCGGAGAAGCTACAGACCTTGGGCTGCTCCTGAGGTTTTTTAAGATGCCATTTCCCAAGACCTTACCTTGCTCATGGCGGTCAGGGCAGGATCACAGGCAGCATCCAGATCCTGAACCAGCAGCTGAATACTACTGGAGATGACGCTGCAAATCAAACAAATCACTGTGGTCACACTTCAAACACAGCTGTCTGAATGACTGACACAGCCCCTTCCAAATGTTTTAGGGCCTGTGTAAAAATCAGACTTATCATTTCATCAGCGAAGTCTGAGCTTTAATGAATGACAGTGGAGGAGGAGTCCGGCTCTTTCTTCATGTCCTGGTTTTACCTGGGTGTGTCCTCACCCTGTCAGGACACAGGGTCCCTGGTCAGTCTCCCCACTCACCATCCCCAGTATCCCTGCTCACAGCTTCCTCCAAAAGAACTGAAGAAAATAAAAAGTTAAGAGAAGAGGGGGAAATAAACTAAGAAGAGAATTTTTATTTTCCTCAGTAAGTGGCTGATGTGAAAGCTGAGGCTTGGCCCATGCCTGTCTCGTTTAATGGCAGTGGAACAGCAAATGACCACAATGAAAATGCCACATGGTCCTAACAGGGAAAGGAGGCTGTACTGCTTGAACTTCCCGGACAGAGCTCCCGCCACCCCACACTCTCACACCCTCAGTGGCTAAAATCAAGCCCTTTCTACTTTATACTTTAAAACACTGAAGGTAGGCCTAGTCTTCTGTGGGTTTAGGCAGGAGCAGATCAGCGATGGCCAAGGGAGAATGTCTTCTCTGTAGTTCTTCACAGTGAGACAATAAAGACCCCATAAGCTAAAAGCACAACTGCATTTGAGGAGGCACATGGCAGAGGCACCAGTTCTGAGGCTGCTTCTTAGTGCCCTGTAGGGACAAATTCTGACCTGACAGAAACCTCTTAGGTTCTGCAGTGACTGAAGCCAACAGCCTGAGGCATGCCGCTGGGTAGCAGAGAAAGGGCAGGCAGCGAGAAAGTACATGCGAGAAAGTGTGTGCAAGGTATGTATGCGTGTGAGGAGCACACGTGCTGAATGTGTCCATCTCTCCAGTCAGATTGATTCACTCAGTCAGACTTAGACATGCTGGTGGGTAGCAGAGAGAGGGCAGGTGGTGAGCAAGTGTGTGTGAGGTACATACGTGTGCAAGGTATGTATATGTGCGAGGTACATGTGTGTGAGGCATGTACGTGTACGAGGTACGTACATGTGCAAGGTACATACATGTGAGAGGTACGTACGTGCTAAATGTGTCCATCTCTCCAGTCAGATTGATTCGCTCAATCAAACTTATATCCACTTTTTCTTTGAGTTTTTCTTCCAGCTGTTGGAAAATGGGAGAAAAAGACACATGGTTAATGATTATCCAAAGAAGTATCACAATCATAACAGTTAACATTTACTGAGTTTGATGATTCAGGCATAATTCCAGACACTTTTAATTCTTACAATCTTATGAGGAAGATTCTATTATCATCCTTGTTTCACAGATGAGAACATAGAGAAGGGGTCTACCCAAGACAGAAGTGGGAGGGCCAGGAATCAAACCTCCTCCAGAGCCCGTGCCCTTCAGCATGGTGCTGTACTTGTTTCTTATGACACATCAATAATTCACATCAATTCATTCTGAAAAGACTCTGATTTATTTAAGATACTCCCTGCCCCATGAAATACAGACTTGCCCACTCACGCTGGAAACCTTTGGTGGTGAGCAGCAGTAAAACCAGACGAACCAGTCAGTGAATGCTATGGGCCGAGAACCTCATAAAGGCGTTGGGGATACAGTGGTAAACAAAAGAAACGCAGTCCCTGCCGCCATCAGCCTACAGCTTGGGACAGAGACGAGGTCCCTGCTGTCATCAGCCTACACCCGGGGACAGAGACACGGTTTCTGCCGTCATCAGCCTACAGCCTGGGACAGAAACGGTCAACATGCTCCTGAGCTCAAAGGAAAATACAACCAGACCTGGACTTGTAAATCCTTGAAAACATCCCTGGGAGTTGATTAATCTAGCACTGTAAGCCCATTACACAACCTGTAAGAATAGCTAATGTTTTATCCTTTTTTTTTTTTTTTTTTTGAGATGGAGTTTCCCTCTTGTTGCCAAGGCTGCGGTGCAGTGGAATGATCTTGGTTCATTGCAACCTCTCCTTCCCAGGTCCAAGCATTCTTCTGCCTCAGCCTCCTGAGTAGCTGGGATTACAGGCATGCACCACCATGTGTGGCTAACTTTGTATTTTTAGTAGAGATGGGGTTTCACCATGTTGGTTAGGCTGGTTTCAAACTTCTGACCTCAGTTGATCCACACACCTTGGCCTCCCAAAGTGCTGGGATTACAGGTGTGAGCCACCGCGCCCGGCCGGGATAACTAACGTTTTGTCTTAAATGTGAAAATGCTGTTGGGGAGCATAAATTAGTATAACCTTTTTTGAAGGCAGTTTATTCAAAAAGCAAAACTGTAAATACATATACTGCCTAAACCAGCAATTTCACAACTAGAAATGCATTTCAATGAAATAAGGGGAATAATGTATAAAGATATGCAAGTGTTTTTGCAGTATTCATTAATTCAACCAATATTTACTGAAAGCCCACTTTTTCAGGCTGTGTAACAGAATAAGAGAGCTACTCAGTGAGCAAAACGGATCAATACTATTCTCATAAAGCCTACATTCTGGTGTGGTTTTATATTACTGAAAAGCTGGAAACAATCTACGTACATATTTACAAGAGATTGATAAAACAAATTATGGCACAGGGGTATAATGCTTCAACTCTTCAGCAGCCTCTTCCTATGACACCGAAAATAAAATCCAAACTCCTGACTATGAACTGGGTCCTGCCAGCTATCTGGCCCCGTCTTGCTACTTTCCACCTTCCCTGCTAGACCTCAGTTATGCTGGCCTTTTAAACTTCTGGGACACACCAGGGTCCTTCACCCTCAGGACCTTCGTACCTCACACTTCCTTCTTCGTTGCCCTGCTTGGCCCTGCTGACCCGCTCCCCTGCTTTGCCGCACCCCGCACTTTCCAAGCCCTGCAGTCTCCTCACATGGCAGTCTCCTTCCCTAGGCCCCAAGTCCCTGCCTCAGTCAATCTCAACTCCTCAGAGAGGCTCTCCGTGACTACCCACTTCAGTAGGCAACTCCCTTATTCTAGCACTGCCAAGTATGTTTCTTTCCTAATATCACAAAACTGAAGATACATCTCAACTGGCTGGCTTCCTTATTACCTGGCTCCCCTATTAGGTTTAAGTTCCATGCCAGAAAGAAACTGCTCTGTTCGCCTCTGTTAATTAGCACCAAATATAGTGCTTGGGGCACGGTAAGTGCTTACTGAAGATGTCTTGAAGGAAAAAAAAGAATGAATGGAACAACCTTGCAGGTGTTAAAAAGGCTGAGGCAATACTGGAAAGATATCCGGATTGAGGTAAAAACAAAACAATGCTGCTTTGTTGTGGAACCATATGCAGAGCATGGGCGCATTTTATTTAAAAAGATACAACCACAAACTGTTTTAAAGCTTATATAGTAAATGGCGGTTGCTCTGAAGGGTTAGACGATGGGGAATTTCAACCCATATGTGTATGTTCCTATGACATTTGAAACTTTTTAGGAGTGCGTATCACTTAAACTATTTAATAGGAAAAATTTCAAACATCTACAAAAATACAGAGAACAGTAACATGTGCCAAGGCCACCATCACCAACTGTCACGACACAGCCAGTCTTGTCTGATTTACGCCCTCACATATTCCCCCATCCCTTCAATTACTTTGAAGCAAATCCTAGAATTCTATCATTTCATCTGTAAATGTTTCAATATGCATCTCTGAAAGATAAGCACTCCTGAAAAAAATAAGCCCAGGGGATCAAGGCCACAGTGAGCTATAACGACACCACTGAACTCCAGCCTGGGTGACTGAGTGAGACCCTATCTCAGAAAGTCTGTTTTCATCAAGATCCAAATAAAGATCACATACAGCAATTGGTTAATATGTGTCTCAAGTTGCTCTCTGTTTTTTGAGACGGAGTCTCGCTCTGTCACCCAGGCTGGAGTGCAGTGGCACAGACTTGGCTCACTGCAACCTCTCCCTCCTGGGTTCAAGCAATTCTCTTGCCTCAGCCTCCTGAGTAGCTGGAATTATAGGTGCCTGCCACCACGCCTGGCAAATTTTTATATGTGTAGTAGAGAGGAAGTTTCACTGTGTTGGCCAGGCTGGTCCTGAACTCCTGACCTTGTGATCCACCCGCCTCAGCCCCCAACATGCTAGGATTACAGGTGTCAGCCACCGTGCCCAGCCTCTCAAGTCTCTTTTAAAAATATATATATAATTAACACGTGGAAAACATACACATCTCTAGTGTTTAGCTGGATAAGTTTGACAGTCATACACACCCATGTACTCACCAATAATAACAAGATATTGAACACTTCCATTCCCCCAGAAAGTTCTCTCATGCTCCTCTGCCCCTTTCAAATCAACTCTACCCTTATCCTATTTCTATTACCACAGATTAGTTTTGCTTGTATAGTATTTGAATTTTATATGTAGTAGCCCCTGCCTTATGTGAAGTTTTGCTTTGTACAGTTTCAGTTATATACAGTCAACCACAGTCCAAATATGTTAAATGGAAAAATTCTAGAAATAAGCAATCTGTACACGTTAAATTGCAAGCCATCCTAAGTATCGCAATGAACTCTTGTGCCATCCTGCTCTGTCCCGCTTGGGAGGTGAATCCTCCCTGTGTCCAGCTATCTGTGTTGTTTACACTCCTCACCTGTTACCGTACAGGAAAAACTGTGTACCATGTACAGGGTTTGGTACCATCTGTGCTTTCAGGCACTCACTTTGGGGCTTGGAATGCAACTCCCACAGATAAAGGGGACTAATGTAAATGGGATTAGATGGTATGTACTCTTGATGTGAGGCTTCTTTCAACATATTTCTGAGACTCATCCTATTGGTGTGTATATAAGCAGTTCATCCATTGTATTGCTAAGTAGTGGTCCATTGTACGGACGCCACAACTTGCCATCCATTCTCTTGTTTAAGGACATTTAGGTTGCTTCCAATTTTAGGCCACTATGAATGGGGCTACTATAAATTTCCTTGTATACGTCTTATGTTTTCATTTTTCTTGGGTAAATACCTGGGAATTTGATCCTGCCACTGCTGGATCATAAGGTTTTATAAGAAACTGCCAAGCTGCTTTTGAAAATGAATATCCTGGCTTATATTCTCCTCACCAATATGTCAGAATTCCACATGTTCCACATCCTTGCCGATCCTTGTCATTGTCAGCATTCCAGATGTTCCACATCCTCACTGATACATGTTGTCATCCTGTCAGCATTCCAGATGTTCCACATCCTCGCCGATACGTGATGCTGTCATTCTGTTAGCATTCCAGGTGTTCCACATCCTCACTGATACATGTTGTCAACCTGTCAGCATTCCAGATGTTCCACATCCTCGCTCATACGTGATGCTGTCATTCTGTCAGAATTCCAGATGTTCCACATCCTCGCCAATACATGATGCTGTCATTCTTGTCAGCATTCCAGATGTTCCACATCCTCGCCGATACATGATGCTGTCATTCTGTTAGCATTCCAGATGTTCCACATCCTCATTGATACTTATCATTCTTGTCAGAATTCCAGATGTTCCACATCCTCGCTGATACGTGATGCTGTCATTCTGTCAGAATTCCAGATGTTCCACATCCTCACCGATATGTGATGCTGTCATTCTTATGTCAGAATTCCAGATGTTCCATGTCCTCGCCGATACTTAATGTTGTCATTCTTTTTTTTGTTTTCGTATTTTTGTATGTGTCATTCTTTATCTCACAAGTCCCGATGTTCCACATCCTCGCCGATACACAATGTCATTATGTCAGAATTCCAGATGTTCCACATCCTTGCCAATAAATGATGCTGTCATTCTTATGTCAGAATTCCAGATGTTCCACATCCTCACTGGTATGGCATGTTATTCTTACGTCAGAATTCCCGATGTTCCACATCCTCGCCAATACGTGATGTCATTCTTATGTCAGAATTCCAGATGTTCCACATCCTCACCAACATGTGATGCTGTCATTCTTATGTTAGAACTCCTGATGTTCCACATCCTCACCAGTCATGTTGTCATTCTGTCAGAATTCCAGATGTTCCACATCCTCACCGATACTTAATGTTGTTGTTCTATTTTTGTTTTCGATTTTTTGTGTGTGTCATTCTTTATGTTAGAATTCCCGATGTTCCACATCCTCGCCAATACACGATGTTGTCATTATGTGAGAATTCCAGATGTTC